ATATATATATATATATATTTGTATTATTGTATTATTGTTCAGAACAAAGCAGCTTTCAGTCAACTGGGCCACAGTGAGTCTGAGTTAAACTGGCAGCTTACTGGCATGTTCTGTCAATGGCAGTATGAAAGCATATTTATCTTTATTATTATTTTAAGGCTTGATGAAGTTTAAAGACGAAAGTCGACGAAAATCTGAACGCAACGTTTTCTAGAAAGCTGTCCTGATAGAACATGAAATGCGATATTTGGACTACAACTCCCTGTCAATTTTCTGCTGAGGCCAAACAGAGTTTCTTTTGGAGAAGATGAGCAATACTTGAGAAAACACAATCACCGGTTAAAAAAAAAAAAAAAAAGGCAGCAGACTTGAATAAAGAGGATTAGGCCTTTCTTTTACATGGTGCATATTATCCAGAACAGATGGGCTTCAGAGAGTCGTTTTCTTCTTCTTCTTGCCTCAAGGAACCTTGTTGGGCACTTTAATTGCCACTTCTTTTTTTCTTCTTCCCCCAACTGATGTAATGGTGGGATATCTTTTTCATTACAATAATGAGGTAACACTTGCTCTCCTTGGCCTCTCATTATCACATCTCCTACATCACTCACTAAACACAAATTTAACCCCACTCCCTTCCCCTCCAAAAAAAGAAAAAGAAAATCCCTGGCGCTAACTTCTCCCATACATCTTTTACACTGTTATCAACAGCTGCTGCCTACCGTCCCTCTACCCTGCCTGTGAGTCCACGAGTCCTACGGGCCTGCAGGAGAATTTAAAGATCTGCATAATAGTAGTTTGACCAAGGCAGGCAGCATTTTTAGCCGGTAGCTTCTAGGGGGGGGGGGGGGGGGGGTGACAGTGAGTAACCTGAAGAGAAACTGGAGTTGGATGGACAGTCTTGATATTTTCTCCGTGGGTGCTTCTGTAACTATATTTTTCCCAATATTCAGCACTCTGTGAAAGAACAAACTAATGTTCTCCCAATTTCCTCTATGGCTGCAAGGTGACGCCAAGAGGTATTCCACATTTGTAAAATATTTTCATTGCGTCATCCAAATAGCATGGGTGTGAGCCAAATCTTTAAAATAATTGAAATGGAAGGTTAAAAAAAACACTTTTAAGGAAGGAAAAACCCCCACATCTTTCAACATGAGTTAGCGTTCAGTTTATCTTTAATGCTAAAACATGCACATGTATGTAACATTTACTTATTCACAAGGATTTTATTTCTTGTGTTATAAATACTAAACTTTTCTGGGATCTCTCCTGACAACCTCTAAGTAAATGTTGGGATGAAATAGGCCGAAAATGAATTTTTCTTTTGACATATCTTGTCTTATTTGTCCAAATGCATAGTATTTAATCAAATTAACTGGAGATTCATTTTTAATTTACTAAATGATGATGTTGTAACTCTGGGAGATCCTTAATAATTGATGCTGGGTCTCATTCACAAGCTATTTTCTTATCTAAAGTGCACCGAGACTATACATTTTTGTTTATCTTGTGTGCCCAGAGTTGCCATTCTCTCTGACCTGGCAACATGTTACCTCCAGCCCCTCTGTGTTAATATCACAAATTAGCCACACAAAGTATTTCTGATTTTAAAAAATTGCTTTATCCTGACTAAAATGCTCCTACGGTTCGGTTTGACAAGAGTGGCGAGTAAGCAGTGAACAGGCTTGTTGACACGGAGGCCGCATGCCATCCACTCGTCATCTCATAAACACCCACCTCACGCCTGAGCCTCGACTAGCCCGGACATCTGCAGCAGTCCCGCTGAATGATGCCACGTAGCTACGACATATCAGAGTTTAAATGGCCTCATCATTTCAGCAAATCCAGCCAGTTTCCCTGCTCTCTTTTTTTTTTTTTTTTTGTCAAGTGACAGGACAGCTGATGGCAGAGAAGCTCCGCTACCTTTCAAGTTTCAACCAGGCGCCGTCACCATGCGACCGCACAACCGAGGAGAAGAAAAAAAAGTCTGTCAGCGGTGATGTCAAAAGCTTCAGTTTTTACAGAGCAATTAGGGGTTTCATCACAGCGGAGCGATGTCAGGATTCATTACGGCTCAGCAACAGCTAATTGCTTCAAGGTTAAAGTAACAGATCTAACGGCATTATATTTTAAGTGACAGACTCAAATTCTGGTGGTGTTTCACAGAGCATAGAGCTGACATTAAGGGAGTGTGCTCGGGAGGATGGGGGCTGAGAAGCAATTGAAATTACTGCACATTAGGATTGTGATTGGTTAGAGTAGCAGGAACATGCACTGGGTGTTTGGGCCTATACCTCTGTGATGGGGGAAACAAAGGACAATGTAACATGCACTTTGCAAACGTCCTTTCAAGTACTCCATTCTTGAATTGTCATAAGTATAAAGTACTGACCAGATGGCAACCTTCGGGTCTGAAAAGGGAAGCCAATGCAGAAGTGCCTTAAACCTTCATTCTGGGGGCGACTCCTCTGGTTGTAAAAAGAAGTCTGGTTGTATAGAAGTCTATAAGAAAATGACTCTACTTCTCACTCGATTTATTACCTCAGTAAACATTGTTAGCATGAGTTTATGGACTCAATAGCT